AAAAGGGGAAAATGAAGACTCAACTCTTAAGAGTCCTTGAAGGTTAAGCAAGGAACTATCTTCTACTTATAATTCCTGGGAGATCTGGTTTGTGAGGTCCAACATTTAGCTATGCTTTTCCTAACAGCTGAGTCCTGAAAATCTAAACCCAGAAAGATCCAAACAGACATGTTTCTGTGATAGTTTAGTGAGTGGCATGAAGAAAGGCACACACAGAATTCAATCACATAAATGATTCTTAATTACGTTACAGGAAATCTGTATGGTTCATGAAATGACATTTGACAAATTATATGTATAGTGCGATCACATGTATAATGATATTCGCTTACAGGCCTAACAGTTTTCCTGAGTGTTTACAGATTGTCATATTTTTTTCTGTAGAAAATTTTGGGAATAAGTAATCTAACTGGCCAGTTGATGATGGTGCATGCCCTTAATCCCAGCACTCCGGAGGCAGAGTCAGGTGGATCTCTGTTCGAGGCCAGGCTGGTCTTCAAGGAGAGTTCTAGGACAGCCTCCAAACCTACAGAGAAACCCTGTCTCAAAAAATAAAAACCAAACCAAACCAAAACAGCAACAAAAAAGAAATCTAACTGGTTTTAAGGTAAAACACACAGACAGTAAGCACATAGTATTTATAAAGACTCTTTCAACACTGTAACCTGTCAGATATTAAATCAGTCACATGCAAAGCAACTGCATTCTTCCCATGTGAAAAACAAATAATGCTTCCAGTAGGACATTCTTATTGCATATGGTGCAAGGAGTTAGGTTTTGTTTTTCTTTTTTCATAGGTGAATTTCTTAATGTCTTTGAAAGAATCTAATTTGAAAAGATTCTGAAAATTTAGAATGCAGAAGTTTAAACTTCAGCAATACAACAGAAGCTGGAGAGATGACTCAGCAAGTAAAGGTGCTTGATACTCACAGAGATTCCAAGTTCAGTGCTCACACCAGGTGACTCACAATGGACTGTAATTTTAGCTTCAAGGTATAAGGTATTCAGCCTCTGAGGGTTGGTGCACACACACATACACACACACACACACACACACAAATGTACATACACATACAGACACACATATAAACAACAAAACCAAATTATTTTAAGGAAGGAAGACAATAGTTCCAAGGATGTGAAACAACAGTAGAGAAAGGATCTTGGCAGGGCAGACACATGTGCATGATCATGTACATATCTAAATCTGTGCAGAAGGAGGTGACCCACTTCTACAGTAAAGTGATGGATGTGGTCACAATCATGGAAGCAACTAAAGGAATCTCCAAAGGTTATGGCTAACCATTCTTTCTCACCTCTATTACAACTTGAAAAGAGTTAAAACAAAAAATATCACTGTCTTAACTTCTGTATTTATGAAAATTTTCCCTTTGTCATATTTACCTTCCTACCTTCTAGTCTCTCAGAAGCCATACTCTTACTATTATGTTAGTACTAGCCATGCTCCCTTGACCTTACTGCATATATGATGGACTTTGCAGGACAGCCTTAGCTTGTAGACTCATTCTGCTTCATTCGTCCAGCAGCTGAGAGGCAGAGCCCATCATCAAAAGACATAGAATACTTCAGAATTTTGATGATAAAGAACTCCCTTTCCAAAGAAATAGTCAATAAAAATTCACCTTAATTTATTAAATGTTTACTTATCTATTATTTTTGAGTGTCTCGTGTGTGCCATTCAATATCATAGGCACATGGAATGTAAAGGCAAGTGACAAGATGATGAGAATTCAGACTATAGTACAAAGAACAGCCAGTCACAAGCTTGATATAACAGATAAAATGGAAAGTTGCATATAGTTACAATGAGGGCATAAATGGCGGGGCACCTCAAATCAGAGGATTCAAACTGTGCAGCTTGCTCTATGATTTAATGACCAAAAGACTTCTATCTAGTTAAAAAAGGTAACAAGAATAAAGAAATCTGACTTCTGGTCATCACCTTCAAGTCTGTATGAAACAAGCTTCTCCAAAACTGTATGAATACTTCACAAGATAATGATTTTCCACTATTAGTAAAATAAACCTCAATTAACCTGGCCCTGAAGAGATGGTTGGCTCATTGGTTAAGAACACTTGCTGCTTTTACAGAGCCTCTGTCTTTGGAGAGCAACACTTACCGCAGGCAGGTGATAGTTCAAGCCACCTATGATTTCAGTTCTGTGGGATCTGATGCCCTCATCTGACCTCCACCGTCAACATGCAAATGAACAGTGTACATACATACATGCAGGCAAAAGAAACTTAAAATTATACACATAAAATAAAATAGACCTAGCACAGAGAAATACTCAACAAAGGCATGGCTTTCATGAGTAGTAGCTTAGTGTGATTCAGAAACAGCTTTGGTTGAAACTACTGTAGCTGGGGATGCTGCATGCTGGAGCTAGTATTTGATTGATGAAATGTCAAGGCTGATTTTCCCTTGTGTCTAAGGTGTATTTATCATGAATACTAATGGAAAAAAAGTTAACTCTAGAGCTATCACCTTATACCTGTTCAAAGCAGTCATTCACTTTTATCAGCATTTAATCAAAACAATTCATCTGAGAAGTTTTAAATGGCAGCTATCTACAAATTATACACAGAAGGAAATTTCAAAATAGTCATGATATATTAAAGATGACTCATTTGCACTTGAATATTTTAATTTCATGAGAGTTTTTAAATGCTAAATTTCCACATTAGAATGTTTTATCACTTTTTAAATTAATGATTTTTAAGTGATTTATTGGAATGAATTCTGTGTCGTGGATAAAAATGCAGTCTTTGGAGCAGCCTCCCTGGTTTTGAACCCTGACTACCATTTTATCTCATGGCCTTGGATAGATAATAAACCTTTCTGTGCTTCTGTTTCTTTATTTGTGAATGAGACGGATAAAATAAATTTACTGTATAATATTATATTTAGTTATATTTGATCAGTGTCTGTAACACACCCAGAACTATCAAAGACAGGAAGTAACCATAATAAGAGCGTTTTCCTTTTTCTTTTCCTGGAGCTAGTTCTTTTAGACCATAATGGTCTCAGAGATCTGCCTGCCTCTGCCTCCTGAGTGCTGGGATTAAAGGCATGCACCACCACCGCCTGGCAAGAACATTTTTCTTAAAATGAGAAATTGATAAATTCTCATTGAAAAAATATTCATGATATTGAAAACATGAGAATACAAGAAAAGAAATCATCTCTTTGGGAAACAATCTTGGCCAGCAGTTTTTTTGTTTTGTTTTGTTTTGGTTTGGTTTTTGAGACAGTTTCGCTGTGGCTTTGGAGGCTTTCCTGGAACTTGCTATTGTAGACCAAGCTGGTCTCGAACTCACAGAGATTCCCCCTGCTTCTGCCTCCGGACTGCTGGGATTAAAGGCATGCACCACCACCTCCTGGCTTGGCCGTCAATTTTTAGTATCACTTTACAATTATTTCTTTGAGTATGTGAAACACCACAAATCAATTAATAGAAAAAGAATAATTTGCAGGAAATATATTTAATTTTAATTGAAATTTACAAGTAGAAATTAATGTAGGTGAAACAAGTTGCAGAAGCTATATAAATTTTTATTAATGTAAATTAATAAAAAACATCCTTGTATTTATAAAAATATATTAAAATGATTATTATAATGCTAGAGTATATTTCTCTTACTTTTGTAACCTATTTGCTATGAAAGATGAAATCAATAGCATTCTTCAGTCACAGTATCTCTCGTGTGTGTGTGTGTGTGTGTGTGTGTGTGTGTGTGTGTGTGTGTGTGTACTTGAGTGCAGGAACCTGCAGAGGCCAGAAAGGATAGAACCCCATGGAACTGGGTTTATAAGCAGCTGTAAACATTCTAACATGGGTACTGGGAGTTGAACTCTAGAGAACTGTGTGTTCTGTTTATTGCCGAGCCTATCGCCAGGCTACTTCTGACATTTCAATAACTTACCTGAGAATAGTCTTTGCATGATGGATTCCCTTACTTTCAATGCCTTCTTTTGTCTCTGATTTTGAAACTTGGAGCCCCACAGCTCTGACTGGCTGGTGAGTAAGTGATTTGTGATTCAGTGTGCAATAATTGTCTTCACGTCGAGTCACTCTTGGTCTGCCTGCCTTAGCAATCACTCCACTTGTTTTGACTTGTTTTCAGTAATTAGCCCAGGGAGTTGATGAGGTTACCCTACTTTCCATATCATAGATTTGAATGTTGAAAATGCCATTTTTCTTTATTATTTCTTAACTTATTATTTAAACACATTGTTTTTCCTCATAAAGATTTTCGTTAGTTCACACATTATCACATCACAGATACTTTCATGTTTTTGCTGTGTGTGTGTGTACCTTTGTTTGCGTGCATACATATATGTGTGTGGGTCCATGTGGAAGCTAGAGTACAACCTTGGCAGTTCTTCATCAAAGCATGTCCTCCATGTTTTTGTGGAACAGACACTAACTGGATCGTAGCTTTAGCTCCAAAGGAGCTACGGATTATTCTGTCTCAACAGCAAAGGGGCTACAATTATACACAATTATCTGGCTTTTTCACATAGGTCCAGAGGCCTGAATTCCTGTGATGAAGTCCTCACTGATTTAACCATTTCCCTACTGTTCTAACTGCATTTCTGTTGCTATGACAAGGACCCTTATTAAAAGCAACTGGAAGGGGTTCATTTGGATATAAATACAGATTATATTGCAATATTGAGTGAAACTGAGAAACCCAGGAAGGAACCTGAAAGCATGCCTTCTTCTATTCCGCACAGCATTACCCATGACATTACACAGCACATTTTATTATACCCCCTTTAAATGATCTCTCTCTCTCTCTCCCTCCCCTCCCCCACCCCGTGTGTGTGTGTGTGTGTGTGTGTGTGTGTGTGTGTGTGTGTGTGTGTGTGTGTGTACATAAAGGCAGGGTAGTAATGAGTTCACTAGACCCAGGATAAATGATAAATGAATGTTTTCTTTTGACTTATTTTCCTTTTCCTTTTCCTGTTACAGCCTTATGTTTGAAGTACTTGAAATGAGTTTTGCAACCGGACTTTTGTCATCATGACTCCAAAGACAGAGAAACACACAGCTGTTCCTTTCAGATAAAGTATATATGCGGGCCTTGAACTCAGAGCACTGGCCAGTGACCTATCTGTGACTACTTTATGATGTGCCATCGTGACGCTGACCTGGACAGTGACTCCAGATTCTGTGGGTTGCGCATGCAGCTAAAGCACTCATGGCAGGCTTTGAGAGAGGTGCGTGAGGCCGCACCACGTGATGCACAGGACATTGTGCATTGTTTCAGCTCACACTGATTTTAAGCAAGACACAGATGAGAAGCACCATTCAGGCCTTTGTTTTCCGGCGTGGACTTGCAGACAGAGACCAGGGCTTCCTTTTTTATGATCTGGTCAGAGGGACCTGGACTATTGGATTCGAAATTTAAATCCATTAGAAGGAATGAGCATACTTTGTAAGTCATTTGGTATCCACTTTTTAAAATGACAAAAACTGGATAACAATGGCTATTGTTAGGAGCTAGCAAAGATTACCTAAATATTTATGTGATCTAAAGCACTTTAGATGACCAAGAAATGTGGTCTTTATCAGAGTCTGTCCTTTTCTGACAGTTTTAGGGCTGTTGGTAAATACGTTGTCAATTGTTCTGTGACATTGCAGAGGTGATTATGAATTGATCTTTTATACCCAATCTGTTCTGATTCCATTAAGAATGAGTAACCAGAAACGATGAGATGAAACATGTTAGGTTTCCACCAATCTTTTGTCTAATAACTTGGTATACAAGTGGCAGGTTACAATTTGATACATTGTATTCTTTAAATTTCTGAGATTATAATTATGACATTGCTACCTTCCTACTTCCAACTCCTCTCTATACCCCTGCCCATTCTTCTTCAAGCTCATGATCTCTTTTATTTATTTATTTTTTAAATGGAATATATGCAATATAAATCTCCAGCTTCTACATACAAGGTAGGTACACACACACACACACACACACACACACACACACACACACACGAGATAGAGAGAAGATTATGAGTAATTTCCAAGTAGATTTTATTTGTGAAACACAAGCAAAATGAAAAATATCTATGAAGCATTTTTGCATGAACTTCAAATAGCAAGGTGTTGATCATCTCTGTATGGCTTAAGGGGGTTAAAATGATTGCAAGTATTTCTTTTTTTTCTTTTCTTTTTTTTTATTTATTTTTCAATTTAAATTTAGATAAGAAACAAGGTTGCTTCACAAGTCAGTTCCAAGTCCCTCTCCCTTTCCCTCACCTCCTCCCGTGCCCTCCTCCCAACCCCCCCATTATCCCCTCATTCCCCCAGGGAGGGTGAGGCCCTCCATGGGGGTGTCCATAGTGTGTCATTTCATATAGGGCAGGGCCTAGACCCTTCCCCAAGAGTTCAGGGTGAGAGTGCACCTCACATTGTTGGATGGGAGTCCAAAGTCCGTGTGTATACTCAGGATGGGTACTGATCTGCTGCCCAAGGCTCAATAGATTACCTAGGCCTCCTTACTGACACCCACATTCAGGGAGTCTTGATCAGTCCCATGCTGGATTCCCAGGCTGATGCCTGGGATTCAAGAGTTAACCTTTGTCAGGTCAGCTGTTTCTGGGGGTTAAACCAGCCCAGTCTTAATCCCTTTGGTTATCAGTCCTCCCTCTCTGTTACTGGCTTTCTTGAGTTCAGCTCAGTACTTAACCTAGGGAGTCTGCCTCTTCTTCGATCAGTCACTGAATGAAGTTTCTGTTTCCCAGACTCTCTGGCCATGGGATTGTAGGCTGGCACTCCCCAGATCTATGTCTAAAATCCATATATGAGAGAGTACATGCCATGTTTCTCTTTTTGTGACTGGGTTACCTCACTCAGGATGGTTTCTTCTAGTGTCATCCATTTGCCGGCGAATCGCAGGATTCCATTGTTTTTTTCTGCTGAATAGTACTCCATTGTGTAAATGTACCACATTTTCTCTATCCACTCTTCGGTTGAGGGACATCTAGGTTGCTTCCAAGTTCTGGCTATTACAAATAAAGCTGCTATGAACATAGTGGAACAGACATCCTTGTTGTATGAATGGGCATATTTTGGATATATGCCTAAGAGTGGAGTTGCTGGGTCTTGTGGTAGGTTTATTCCCATTTTTCTGAGGAATCTCCATACTGATTTCCAAACTGGCTGAACCAGTTGGCACTCCCACCAGCAATGGAGGAGTGTTCCCCTTTCACCACATCCTCTCCAGCATAAATTGTCATTGGTGTGTTTTGATTTTAGCCATTCTGACAGGAGTGAGATGGTATCTCAGAGTTGTTTTGATTTGCATTTCCCGGATGGCTAAGGATGTTGAGCACTTTCTCAAGTGCCTCTCAGCCATTTTAGACTCCTCTATTGAAAATTCTCTATTTAGTTCTGCAGCGCACTTTTTAATTGGATCCTTTGGTGTTTTGGAGACTTGCTTCTTGAGTTCTTTGTAAATTTTGGAGATCAACCCTCTGTCAGATGTGGGATTAGTGAATATTTTTCCCATTCTGTGGGCTGCCTTTTTGTCTTGCTGACTGTGTCCTTTGCCTTATAGAAACTTCTGAGTTTCAGTAGGTCCCATTTATTAATTGTTGATCTCACTGTCTGTGCTAGTGGTGTTATGTTCAGGAAGCTGTCTCCTGTACCAATTCATTCAAGGGTACCACCCACTTTCTCTTCTAAGAGGTTCAGTGGCTGGATTTATGTTGAGGTCTTTGATCCATTTGGACTTAAGTTTTGTGCATGACGATAAATATGGATCGATCCGCATTCTTGAACATGCCAGCCTCCAGTTATGCCAGCACCATTTGTTGAAGATGCTTTCTTTATTCCATTGTATATTTTTAGCTTCTTTGTCAAAGATCAGATGTTCATACGTGTGTGGGTTAATATCCGGGTTTTCAATTCGATTCCATTGGTCTACCTGTCTATTTTTGTGCCAATACCAAGCTGTTTTCAGGACTATAGCTCTATAATAGAGCTTGAGGTCAGGGATGGTGATTCCTCCGGACATTGCCTTGTTGAACAGGGTTGTTTTGGCTATTGTGGGTCTTTTGTTTTACTCTTAAAGGTACAGAGAAGAGTATGAGGGGGAAATGATGGAATTTTGATGCCAGATACGTTGGCCTTTATTACAGACTCCATTCTTTGGGAATTTGCTCAAGTTATTCTTGTATTTAGTACCTTGAATTTTTCACAAATATAATCAAGAGACTTTTAACTCATGTTTTCTAAAGCTAATTAGTGAGCTAATCCATATGGCTTGCTTAGAATAATGTATAACCTGAAGATGAGTTTGTACAAATGCTGTATCCTTCAGCAGGCATGTTGATAATTGCAAGACATTGTATTATTATCTCTTAAAACAAATTTGATCTATAGGGAGAGTTTGCTAAGTTCTTTTCTGTAGTCCGTTTTACATAGCAGATACCATTGTTATAGCATTTTCCAATACTTTGTTACAATTTAAATATCAGCTTTCTCTCATTGTATAAGACTCTATATCCAAGATGACAATGCAATATATATTCCTTTATGGATCTTAAATAGAGGTGCAACTTAGTGTACATTGGGTGCCTGCTAGATTCCATGTTATAATTAAGAATAAAACTGAAGCTAACTGCCTTGACCTAAATACTGACTCTGTGGCTTATTAGATATATGACTCTAGCCTAATTATTTAATTTTCCCATTCATAGTCTTTCTTATAGTAAAATAGGAATAATAAGGAAGGAACATAGGAATGTCATAAAAATTATTAGATACACACAAATGAATAAGCTTATGATAAATATGCTATGTATTAGTGGTGTAGTGTTTTCAGAGTAAATTAATTAGGTGAAGAAAAATAACAAGCAATGCTTTGCATTTGCTTGAAAGTATAAAATGTTTCAAGTCCCAGCTTTCATGAAGGACTTGGGATGAGGGGTTTCTCTATGACTAAGGAGGCAGGAAGCCCATACTTAAGACTTTCAATCCATCTCCTTCCCTGCGTCTCAGCAGATGTCTGGTTCTGTTGCTTACTCACAATTCCATGTGTTCTTTTTACTGAGTGGTTTCAGAGTACCGTCCTGGAAATCTGCAGGCTTCTTTATAGGCCTCTCCTCAAATTTGGTTCTCTTGATATCACAGCTTACACTTTTTCTTAGAGACATGAGTTTCTACATTTTATTCTTCACTAACTTCACAGATTGGACTTTATCCAAGAATGAAAACCTCTGGCTGTTTCAGTTTGCTGAGCTTTAATTTCATGGTCCACTGGGAAGTAGATTCTTTGATGTTATTCCTAGTAGCCATCAAAGTAGGGAGATGCAGAGTGAGCAGTGAAATAGAGGAGATCATGTGGACTTGTAATTTCTAATAGCTGCCAGGTTATAGCAAATAATAATAAAGAACAATTTTAATCAAAAAAGCATGCAATATTTTCTTCTGACATTTTACTTCCTTGTTTTTATTCTACTGTATTGCTTATTATGGTAATAATGAATCAAAATAAAGAATACTGCAATTAAAATGGCTCATGTAGCACATGTTCAACTATCTCATTATCTCTCCTCTCCTCTATCCATTCTGCCCTCCCATGCCAACTCCCTTTGATAACATATGTACTTGTGCATACTTGTGTTTAAAAGAACCTGTAGAGAAGAACCACAGGTTGTAGTCAGGTTGACGACCATATATTTCAACATTGCTAGCATTCAGTACAGCAGTTAGCAGAATAACCATGCTCGGTAAATTTTTATTAACTGAATGAATACAAGGTTTTGGTAACATAATGCATTCCTATGTACCTACCATAGGTTGAACATTCTCCATGTAAGCCTAAGAGTGGACAATGGTCGGTTATCCAATTAGTACTGCATATGATTCTCCCTTTTGTAAGGGTTCTTTCATATAAAATGGAAAAATTATGGGTCAATTATTCAACACCTGCTAGAAAGACAAAAAAAGTGAGAATAATGATACAACTTATAATTTTGTATGATTTTTCTACAATGCAAAATGATTTTGTGAACATTGAGAAAAGCAAAATTTATGTAAAGCTTCTATATTTGCATGTTTCTATTAGTTGAGTTAGTGAAGTAATTAATAT